TGATGACGAAATAATCTAACTTTGAATGTACCATAGTTTGTTTAATTTTCCATTGAAAAAGTGTGAGTGTATCTACACATACACCACAGTTCCATATCAACCCTCTGATTGGTTTACCAGAAGATTGAAAATAGTCATGTGACGTATGTTAGATACCTCACACTTTTAGCCAGAACCTACAATGTAACATTTTCTTTCCTGTAATATTTTTCAACTCTAAATTTTTGCTAAAACTATAGTGTTGGGTAGTTGTCTCATTGGCAAATACCCCATATCCTTTCTTTTTCTTAAAATAAATACAACAATGAATTTTAATAACTGTATTATTTTTTAAAAATGTGAAACTAGAAGCCACATATATAAATGAGGGGCCTGATGGGTTATTTTCGTTCTTCGTGATCGGCGCATTTTCGCTATCGTGATCCGTTTTTCTGCAGATTTTTTTTTTTATATTTTCGTGATCCGTGATCATGGAAATTTATTTTCCGTGAATCGTGATTGACAAAAAATCAACTCGTGAATCGTGATGAGACCCCCCCCCCCCCCCCCCCATCAGGCCCCTCATAAATCCTCTGATCCTGGAGAATGGCACACTGATAATTTCACTACAAAAAAAAATGCATAAAATTCCATTATGCAAACATTTCACTACAAAAAAGGATGGAATTCCAAAATGCATATATTCCTTTGAATAAAAGACACCACATAATCCACAAATTATGAAATACTGAAATAATCACAAATATATTTAACTTCCACTATTAAAATTGAACACACATCCAGTGAACAAACTTCCAACGCCTCCTGTAGCACTTTTAGATGGTTCACGATTTTCTGTGCGATTCTGAATTTCTGTGCTGTCTTCATGTTTAATTTTCTTGCAAATGCTTTCGCTCGGTTCAAGGATATTTGAGATATCCTTTAACATCTCATTGGAAGCCCTTTTATATTTTCTAACACTCTCCACTGACCTATGGCCTGTTCTGTTCATGATTTCTTGTTCTGGGACTCCTGCCTGGTATAATGTCGTGGCACATGTCCTTTTACCAGAGTGGTTAGTGAAATATCCATCTATTCCGGCTTCTGCACACATGGTTTTCATGATATTAGACAATTTGTTGACCCCTACCGACTGTTCACCAAACTTAATACTTCTTTTATCTAGCGGTCTCCTGTAAAAGGCTGTTCCATTTAAATCACGTACAATATTCAAATATTGTTCATATATCTTAAAAAGTACTGGATTTTGTAGATAGTGTTTTAAGTTTTTGGCACTTAAGTTCCGCTGATTGAGTCCACCTGAAAAAATGAAGTATTGACATTGAGTGACATTTAAAACATACACGGAACAAAACTAATTAATGAAATATGAAACAGTTTTATATTGCCTGGATTAGGTAAAATGTAATAAGCATACACGCTACGCAAGATATAACATACCCGTTTTTACAATGAATTTGCATAAATGAAGCACCTGTTGTAGCGCGGACCTCAACGAAGACACCCGGATTTTCTGAAAATCGTCAGTCAAGTATTGTGACCAAATTACACAAAAGAACGAATTAAAATACACAAGAAAGGAAAATACTAAAAAAATGTAAGAAAAATTAAACTGACCTTTGTACGTTTTGTTGGCTCTGCCCTTGAATAATATATAGTTTCCCGTCTGATCCTTTCCCAGTTCGAACTGGTCCACGGACAGATTCCGATGCTTATCTACACCTCTGAGTCCAAAACGTTTACTGTGATAGAAAAACATGGTACTAGTATTCATTATAGCTTTAGAACTGGTACTCCCAAGCAAACCCTTTTCCCAGAGAGTGCTTTCTGTTTCCTCGCTTATCGCCTCTGCCTGTTTAGTAGTGGTGCCTATACCCTGTTTTGTGAGTTCGGTCATGCGTGCGCTTAAAGAACGTCTGAAATCATAAAATACACAGTCTTTTTCGTCCAAAAAGTTCATATGCACACCATTCTCTCGGTGAAATCTCAGTATGCCAACGCATAAAAGATATAATGTCTTTGGGGGATACGGCTTACCATCTTTTCTTCTGGTCTCTATTACAAACTTGCTAAGCCACTGATTTACATCATTGGCGGCAAACTGTAAAAGTTCTGGAATGGCACAATAATTACTTTTCATTCGCGCAACTCTCCAGTCGTTAAATGTGGCGACACTCCAAGTAGTATTTTTCCGTGTATTTCTGCTTTCAGTTGACTTAACTAACTTATCAATATCAATATCTTCCACAAAAGAATAGCGTGAATATTCGTTACAATTCACAGTAACAGCCTTTTCCAATTCTTCAATAATATTATCCGCCGTAAGGGGAACCTGCGTAAGTTCAAAATCTGGCAGGTCATCCATTTCAAAATCCACTTCATATTGGTCCAAAGCCTGAGAAAGAGTTAAATCCTCCAGCTTTTCGAAAACAGTATTTTCATTTTCAGCATCTTTGCATGTTTGTGATAATGTTAGATCGTCTATACTGTTGTCCCATTCAGAAATTACATTCAAAAAGTCAATGTCACTGATCTCCATTTTTGCAGCCATTTCATACGACTGAAACGCGCAAACTGATAATTCAGCGGGAAAGGCACTTTTCATCACGTGATATCAGTTAATTGTGACGTCTAATGAACTTTGACACATGTCATTTACCAAATTAAAAATTTGATTTGGTATGTGTAGATACACCATAGGATGGACTAAATTTCACTCGAAAGCAAAGCTTTCTCGTGAAATTTAGTCCCTCCTATGGTGTATCAAACTTTCTCGTGAAATTTAGTCCCTCCTATGGTGTATCTACACATACCCAACACTTTTTAATTTGGTAACTATAACATGTGACACGTCTTCAGATTGGCTGAAAGTGTTTACTCTATTAGCTCAATGACACAATTTGTTTTGTCATGTGACTGTGACGTCATCAACGTTTCAACATGATTCATGCCTTTTTAGAATTAAATTATAAGGACAGACTGTAATATTTTTTCTGTTATTCAGTGTGCACCACATTATTTTAATTTTATTTCTTCATAGACAGAAAAAAATATTAGTCATTCCTTAACTGTTAAACTGCTGTAGTAAACATGGTAAATGTGTTACGATATGTACAAGTTCGAAGTATAAGTACAAGTTAGTTACAGTCTACATTTAAAGTTATCAAAGAATCAGTATGAATGCAAAAAACAAAAAAAAAAAACCCATCAAAATCCAATTTGGTTTTACATCATTGTACATTATTCAAACTGAGTAAATACATGATATACTACCCACCCGGCACGCAACGTCATTTCAACGTTGAAATGTGGTTGATATTTCGTCATGACGTTGCTTCAACGTTGTTTCAACGTTGTAACAGCAACGTCGAAGTTATGTTGCAGAAAGTTAGTTGATTCAACGTTGAATTTTAGTTGAATTTTCAATGTTGAAGTTAGGTTGAAATAAATATGTTGTTTCAACGTTAAATGTTGGTTGACATATCGACGATGGAGGTTCGTCCAGAAAAAAAAATTGTATGCATCGGTGTAAAAAATTATCCACCATCAGCGTTAAAGGTGAATCATTATAGTTGTACATCCTTTGTTATTGTATCAAAAAAGTTCATAAATAAGGATTTTGCTATGTAAAATTGTAATCAATGTTTCCTTTCATTTTTTTTGGTACAATATCTAGTAAAATTAGGAATATTCCAAAACCGGGACGTTTATCAAAATCATTAAAGTGTACAAATTTAAATTATCATTCATCGAAATATGCTTCTAACTAATTTGTTATTATCCGGAAATATTTTGATCAAAGATAAGACACAGCATGTGAAAGTGCGGCATCTTCACAACTGATACACGAGGATTAGCACTCCCAATAATCTATTGATTAAATTTTCACGTGACATGATGCTGATTAATGTATGACCACACGTGTGTGACCGCCTTTTTCAAACGCGTAAATTGTATAATTTTCCTGGACAATATTTAGGACCGTTTTCAGTAAAGAAGAATTCATAGAAATGTAAGTGTTTCTTTAAATTATTATCCGTTGCTGTACTAATTGTCTTTTAATGCTTATGTGATGTTAACATTGGGAGATTATAAATGCACAAACGTACGTGTATATTTTGAAAATCTCGCCATAGTGTATGTTGTAAAGATAACATTACTGACTTCAGTGTGTACATCGTATTTTTTTGTTGTACGTTCAAATTTATGACTGCACTTCTATATAAATATGTACTACAATCTGGAAACACCATACTCAGCCTACATACAGCTCATTTTAGTTATTAACTGCTGATTTGTTAAGGTTCATGTGGACCCTTTAGCTAAAATGGCTGCATTTTCACCTCAAAATTTACTCTGAGGACAGACAAACCTGTGCATCTGGAAAAGTTTTAAGGCATAGCATGCCCCAGATAAATAAACTTCTAATGCATTGTATGTTTTAGAAAATTTAAAACTTAACTGGATTTAGCAGTGCACTTTTTTTCGTCCCTGCAGAAGATGATAAAATTAACAAACAGTTGAGTTTTACTTGATATGGTCCACTCAGGTACACAGTTTAAATCACCAATTATTGTCAGGTATCTATTGTCCTTCTATTGTCCATGTCAATCAAAACAGTTCACTTCAATTATTACCTGTGGGGAAGTTCTCAAACCTCTTTCCCAACTTTGTTTATTTTGGCACCTTCTGGTGGAATGAAAAAAAGTGCACTGCAAAATCCGGTTAAGTTTTTAATTTTCTAAAACATAAAATATATTTGAATTTTATTTATCTAGGGCATGCTATGCCTTAAAACTTTTCCAGATGCACAGGTTTGTCTGTACTCAGAGTAAATTTTGAGGTGAAAATGCAGCCATTTTAGACGAAGGGTCCACATGAACCTTAAAGAAAAGGAACTTTTGCGAAGTAAGATTATCAACTCCCCCTTTTTTATCTAAAATTTTAACCCGTCATCCATAATCACACTATTCTAATTATTGTCAACTATGCTCTGAAATTTTTAATAATTTCTTTTTACTCTTCAATCGAATTTTACAAATTTAAAATATTGCTTGGCGATGATGATCGATGTTATTCTTATTTTTTGCACAGGGTTAGAGACAGAACAGTAACTTAGGAAAGGGACAGATCAGTACCTTGGGAAAGAAAGATTTAAGGATAAAAGTAATAGCTGTCTAGGTATGTATTTTTTTTTAAATTTTTAACATGTTTGATTATCAATAATCAGTATGTATGTTGGATTGCCTGTGTTGTTTGTGTGAACTTTGTGATTTGAATTGATTTATATGCTCTATATGGGCCCTTTAATTAGGAATACTAGTAAAGACATTTGATTTGATTTGATTTGGATTAATATTTTTTTAATGCATATCAAATTTAAAACACAAGCTTTGCAATCAATAAGACAGGTGGTATTGTTACAATAGATCCTGGTGTTCGAGATGGGTGGCATTGTTACAATAGATCTTGGTATTCAAGATGGGTGGCATTGTTACAATAGATCCTGGTGCTCGAAATAGGTGGCATTTTAACAGTAGATCCTGGTGCTCGAGATTGGTGGCATTGTTACAATAGATCCTGGTGCTCGAGATGGGTGGCATTGTTACAATAGATCCTGGTGCTTGAGATGGGTGCCATTTTAACAATAGATCCTGGTGCTCGAGATGGGTGGCATTGTAACAATAGATCCTGGTGCTCGAGATGGGTGGCATTGTTATAATAGATCCTGGTGCTCGAGATGGGTGGCATTTGTACAATAGATCCTGGTGCTCGAGATAGGTGGCATTTTAACAATAGATCCTGGTGCTCGAGATGGGTGACATTGTTACAATAGTTCCTGGTGCTCGAGATGGGTGGCATTTGAACAATAGATCGTGGTGCTCGAGATAGGCATCTTCGCTAGCCAAGGGTTACGATTCACTTCCCGCCTTTGCCGTTCTACGTAATTGCTAAGTCATGTTTACAAAATATTATTTGTGTTTGTTTTTTCAGGAAGAGTAATGGAGGCCTACACAAAGATAACAGAAGCTGAGTTAAAGAAGGATTGTGCACCAGAAATGGTTGGAGGAGTTTAGAGACTACAATTCATTTTCACGAAAATAATAAAAATTGATTAAAGATTATTTGTATTCATTTACCAGATCACCTTTTGGCTATATTTAATTTAGCTTTTGTCATAACTTGACATCTGTTGTACTGTTTTTTTCTGATGTCCTCTGTAGAGTCATGTGGCTTCAATATCTTGTGTGGTTACTAACTATTATAGACATAAGAAGATGTGGTATGATTTCCAATGAGACAAATATCCATCAGAGTCCAATTGACGTGGAGGTCACTAAACGGACTTCAACAATAAGCACACACCACACCGTATAGACCGCAATAAAAGACCCGGACACAATACACCCTTCAATAATCAATTCAAACGAGAAAAACCAACCGCCTCAATTTGTAACGACAAACACATGTGACAGATGAACCAACAACAAGCAACGTATTGCTTATTTCAACATGAAAGAATGTTGTTTCAATGTTAAGTTTCAACCTATATTCAATCAAAAATCAACGTTGATACAATGTTGAAAATATAACGTTGTTTCAACGTCAGATATTCAACGTTGTGTCAACTTTCAAAACCAACTCTTATTTCAACGTCTTTTCAACGTTACAGATCAACGTTGATTCAACGTTGTTTTAACGTTGAAATGCCTGCTGGGTACATTATTCTACGTGTTGTATAATTTGCCGTTTCAGAATATAATGCATTCTTGGTATTATTTTCAAAAGTGTACACCAAAGCGTCGTGATTGGTTAAAAACGTCATAAACAATTGAAATTCAACCAATGACGTGACGTTATATTCACTTTGGGGTACGAACAATAAAACTACCCATAGTCCTTTAGATTTTGAAACGGCCAATTGTATGGATTTGATAACAAAGTCAGAGATCAATATTTTAATAAGATTGGGTTCTGACTCATCCATTAGCGCATACATTTTATTCGAAAAGTCAGACGTTTATTTTCTGTTTGTAAGTATCTGAACACTTAATTAGCTTCATCATGTCCATTTATCGCATGTTTAGGATGTTTCAGTACGTTCTCATATGCAGCCATAAGTCTTTCCTATGACGAATTTTGTTTTCACATACATCACATCTGTATGCGTTCTCATATGTCGCTGTAAGGTATCAATCCGACTAAATCATTTACCACACACATCGCACATATACGGTTTTTCACCAGTATGTGTTCCCGTGTGGTTCTTTAATTCACTAGTTTGACGAAATTTTCTACCGCATACACCGCACTTAAAATTATGTTTTTCACCAGTGTGTATTTTCATATGCATACGTAGTTTTGATCGTTGACTAAACCGTTTACTACATACATCACAGTTAAAAGGTTTATCACCCGTGTGTATTCTCGTTTGTACTTTCAAATGGCATTTTTGACTAAAAGATTTACCACATATTTTGCATGTATAGGGGTTTTCGCCAGTATGCGTTCCCATGTGTATTATATCTTGTCGTTGGCGAAATTCTTCATCACATACATTACATTTTTTAGGTGTTTCAAACGTATGTGTTCTCATATGTCCCTTTAAGGTATCACGACGACTAAATCCTTTACTACATACATCACATATGTATGGTTTGACACCAGTATGAGTTCTCATGTGTTTCTGTAAGACACTATTTTGACAAAACCTTCTATCACATACATGACATTTAAAAGGTTTATCTCCAGTGTGTATACGCATGTGTGACTTTAAGTGCTGCTAATAACTAAAACCTTTACCACATACATCACCGTTATAAGGTTTATCACCAGTGTGTGTTCTCATGTGTGGCCGTAAGTGACCTCTTTGAGCAAAACCTTTACCACATACATCACAGGTATAAGGTTTATAACCAGTGTGATTTATTATGTGTGTCTGTAATTGACTAGGCTGTTTAAAATCTTTACCACAAACGTCACAGTTAAAAGGTTTATCATCATTGTGTATACGCATGTGTGACTTTAATTGACTAGATCGTTTAAACTCTTTACCACAAACGTCACAGTTAAAAGGTTTTTCATCATTGTGTATACGCATGTGTGACTTTAAGTGCTGTTTAAGACTAAAACTTTTAGTACATACATCACAGTTAACACGTTTATCATCAGACTGAGCTCGTTTTAGAGTGTGCAACTGTAAGATAAGTGATTTATTAAATCCTTTTTTACATATGTCACATTTCAACGTTTTATCGCCAGATTGAATTGTTATATGTTCCTCGGACTTACCTTCCCTTTTCCATCCTTTACCACACATTTGACAAGTATTCACGCACTTTTCTGCTGTTGTCAATCCTTTACTATGCATTTGACAAGTAGTGTCGGATTTTTCATCCCTTTTCAATCCGTTATCACACACTTGACAAGTTTTCTCGGACTTTTTATCCCTTTTCCAACCATTACCATATAATTGACAAGTATTTTCGGACTTTTCTTCCTTTTTCAATCCTTTACTACACATTTGACCAGTAAAATTGTTTCCCCCAGCATTGAATCTCGTGTCTTCCTTTATAAAGTGACTTGGGTTATGACTAAGGGATACATTTATGGAACCCGGTGTATTTTTGTTGTCAGTCATTTCTTTTGTTTTGTACTTTCTTGTCCGCTTTTTTTTCCTTTTTTTGTGGCCTTGAATCTTAAAAAAAGAAAAATAATCATTAAAACAGTTGATTCCATTCTGAATTTCTAAACATTCAAGGTTATTTAGTAAACATAAATACGTTTTTAGAAAAAATGGGTTTACTCTATTCAAGGATTATCCCCCTGATATTGTATTGTTTAATAATGTCCCCCATGAAATAATGAAAATATAAATAAAATGATATAAAAATAAGTAAAAGATGCAATTAACAAAAATATTGTTTTCATTTTTATATCAAACATTAGGCTATCAGAACTGGCTGACAGATACTTACCTCTAATTTTGTACCATCAAACGTATCCATTTACAGCAAGATACATGTTTGATAGTAGAAAAAGCGACAAGTGTGTGTGGTCAATGCTTCATTAAAAATAACACACATTTTAATAATACTTTAATAAAGCCCTATGAGTAGAACCTATAGTCATGAAAGTCACTGTATGTGAATGGTAGTTCGGCATTTCTTGTGCCACTAGGATCCCATCGTTTAAGAACAGTTTCTGCGTTCACTTGACCGACATTGTCCGTACGATGGACGTGAAGCATGGCTAAACAATATAATCTGTCCTCAGCCATTGTTGACCTGCACCATGTCTTTAAACGTCGAAGGGCAGAAAAAGATCTCTCACATGAGCAAGAACCGACCAGCAATGTCAATAGTATAGCTTCTCCTGGGAAACCAAAATCTCTGACGGTTGAACTTGTTCAAGAGACTTTTTCGCGGGAAATAAATAATTTCAGAAGCAAATGCCGGTTTACTGGCGATGGTAATCAGGCAGCTAGAGAGTTCGATACCTAACGTAGTTGAAATAAAAGTATAGAAGCTGCACTTTAACATGAATTACTATTCGAAGTATGCATTGCTTAATTCTTGATATGAATGTGCAAGGATGTTTTCTACCCCTGTATGCCTATATTTCTCCATTTTCTTATTCTTATTAATTTTGTCAGAAAATCAGAGTCTGCCTCATCGGTAGTTACGGCCCAGGAAGGGTCTCACTGTGGGTGTGTTTTGTCTCAATCATTGACAATTATACCATAATCTGTTATTGATGTAAAAGTGGCAACATCAACACCATTTTTGCTCTGGATTTCAAGAACTATGATAAATTCGTAGTCGCTGAAGGGTTTTCCTTTTTTTTGCAACACTGTAAGCAGTGTTGAAGAGAACCTTATGTCTATTTAACTGATCAGGCTTACATTGCGGCTTTAGAATACATTATCCAAGTTTAGTGTCTGACAATAAATCTTTAGACTTAAGATGTGGGTCACTTTCATGGATCGACTGCTTTAAACAAGATAAATGCTGGGGTATCACTTCGTGTATTTTTATTAGGTCTATTTTAAGATTTTGTGTTCCACTTACTAGTGAACTTTCTTTTTCAGAATGGGTTGGGAACTTCTGGCAGTATATTAATGACATTAGACCAATTGATTCATCAAAATATAGCCACGGTCGATCGATTTTCCAGTGGAGCTTAAATTTCCGTTCCCGTTTTCACAATCGTATGTTTGGTCATTAGTGAGATCTTCATTTGATTTCTTTTGTTTCGTTCCCAAGGAAGACGTTGAAGCCCACCGTTCATCCTCTTCAGGCTTTCTCTTCGAAGACGTGACACCAATACAAAAAAGACTCATTGTGTTCGAAAATGTCGAAAAAGTGACCTATCGCGATTATTTATAACCTTGTGTTTCCAAGAAATACAAGGTTAGAAATAACTTTTATCACTGGTCGGCAAGATCAGGGATGAAACATCTTATTATCTCAATTTCAATAATAATATGGCTTTGAAATGACGATACTGATGGTGAAAAAGGTCGGCAAAGTTAATTTTTATTTTCTTTCAAATCGAAGGTCCATCGGGCGTAGCTGGTAACCAAAACGAAAGTCCGATTGCAACAGTGGAAGGTCATAGACCTCGGACCACCGCTAATTTGAACCCCTGCCGTTTTTGGGCCACTCTCTTCCAACCGGCTGCATAATGGATCATGGCTAGAGCTTTGAAAGCTTCCTTATGTTTCAGTAGTTTTATGAGTTTAAAGATGTCTGGATGTGGATACTGGACATGTTACTCCAGCTTGCTGTGCCATCCCTCTTAGATGATTTGTAGTCCTCGGTCCCTGTGTTGTATCATGGTTCCAAAGGTGACTGTTCTATTCGACTCAGTAAGTTGTTACATAGTCTGAAAAGGGCGTGAAGTTGGTGTTGGTATAAATATGATCTATGTCGGTATTCCTATGGGAACCAATTGTGTCCCACTTCTTGTCGATTTGTTCCTTTATTCTTATGAGACTGACTTCATACAGAAACTTCTTAGGAAAAAAAAAAAGAAAAGAAGTTAGCAATATCCTTTAACTTTACTTTCTGCTTTATAGATGATGTTCTCTCACTAAATAATTCAAAATTTGGTGACTACGTTGAACGCATCTATCCCATCGAACTAGAGATAAAGGATATAACAGATACAGTTAAGTCTGCCTCATATCTTGTCTTGCATCTAGAAATTGACAATGAGGGTCGGTTGAAAACAAAATTTTACGACACAAGATATGATTTGAGTTTCCAAATTGTGATTCCAGCAGCGCCTGTATATGTGGTACATATCTCCCAATTGATACGATATTCCCGGGCTTGTATTTCTTATCATGATTTCCTTGATAGAGGGTTACTGCTCACAAGGAAGCTATTAAACAAAGAGTTTCTAATGCTAAAGTTGAAATCATTCCTTCGTAAATTTTACGGACGCCATCACGAGTGGTTGACCGTTATGGAATATCCATTTCACCGATGATAACGGATATGTTCCTTATGTCGTAAATACAATCCCGTTCCCTTTTCACGAATGTGACCTACCGAATAAGGCTATTTACATAGTTTGAAATAACATGAGCAACAAGACGGGTGCCACATGTGGAGCAGGATCTGCTTACCCTTTAGGAGCATCTGAGATCAACCCCAGTCTTTATGGGGTTAGTGTTGCTTGTCTTTAGTTTTCTTTGTTGTGTCTTTTGTAATATTATTTGTGTATTTGTCTTATTCTTTTTTAGCCATGGCGTTGTCAGTTTATTTAGGATCTGATAGTTTGAATGTCCCTCTGATATCTTTCGCCCCTCGTTTACACATGCATTCTAATAAATTTGGAGGGGACATTTTTTTCTGTTACTATCAAAGGAATTTGTAAGATATTTTCAATTTCATTTTAAAAAGAAATTTGTTTTATATCATCTTATGAGAACCACTGAAAATGAGTGAAGAAGTTGCAATGGTTAACATTCTACAAACTGAAGACTGGAATAAATCTGAACTTTAAACCAGAGAAATTTGGCACTAAAGAGAATTTGCTGAATGAATAAAGGCAACAGTAGTATACCGCTTTTCGAAATTCATAAATCGATTGAGAAAAAAAACAAATCCGGGTTACAAACTAAAACTGAGGGAAACACATCAAATGTAAGAGGAGAACAACGACACAACAGAAACTCGACACTAAAATGCAATACACACAGAAACGAACTATAATATAACATTGGACATTTTCCTGACTTGGTACAGGACATTTTAAGAAAAAAATGGTGGGTTGAACCTGGTTTTGTGGCTAGCAAAACCTCCCGCTTTTATGACAACGTTAAATATAACATTAAAATGACAAGATTACATGACAGGACTACAATACAAATAAATGGGAGAACATACAAGACAGAGACACACACAAATAATAGCTTTCAAAAGGTACCAGACTTATAATTTAATTTGAAATTCGTAAAGCGGGTAAGAAAAAAGATAACTAATGTGTGCCTTGACTTAGGTGCTATTGGTTGGTTTTTCACTTGCAGTCGCAGTCGTTGCCTTGCATCTGAAAGGTAGATATATTACAAATAACTTAAAGTATTGTGGCTGACTATTGGACCTCTTTTTTTCGGTATTGATTATTCACATATTAAGTACAGCAACGTTTTCAATATCAAAAAAAAAAAAAAAGTAAAATAAACAAAAAAATGAACTCCGAGGAAAATTCAAAACGGAAAGTCCCTAATCAAATGGCAAAATCAAAAGCTCAAACACATCAAACGAATGAAAAACAACTTTCATATTCCTGACTTAGAACAGGCATTTTCTTATGTATTTTAATGTCACATATTGATAGTCATTAAACATAAACAAACTGTTTAATATTTACACATGAAATGATATATATCTAACCAAAAAAATCTGATTTATCTAAGTTATCATGTTTTTGATTCTTCGATCATTTTAAGTTTAAACACCTCCACATTACTCATTCAAACATTTAAATCTATAAATATGTAAACTAGTGTCGATTTCTGAATATAATGATATTTGATAACTATGGTAGTAAGAGTAAAATTTGCGTCGTTAACACGGCCATATTCAATGTCTTCTAATGAACGCTTAGGGATCAAACTGAAGAAATCAATATTATTTTGGTAGAAATTATGGTAAATGACAAACATGATTAATTCTATGTGCATGATGTGTATGTTGTAGAAGTTGTATGCGATTTTTTCCTTTTCTAAAAAAGTAAAAATCTTAATAAAAAAAAAAGGTGATTTAAGACAATGTAAGATGTTTCTGAAATGGAAGAAACATGATCTTAAACAGGCTTTGAATCTGATTACTTCTCTTTTAAACACTGCTGTATACAATATAGGCTATATAATGTAGTCATCGGTGTTTGGAACATTGTTTAGATATTCAAATTGACATTTTTGACATGAGCTGATTCTGTTAACATTCTTCCCTTGTCTCTACAGCCGAATGGAATGTTCCGGGCACAGACAGTTTCACAAACATGTCAGACATAACGAAACGACCACGCAAAGGCTCAGCATTGACCTCTTTATCAACTGGAATAAACAGAATTTTTATCAGAAAATTTAACAGAAAAATTATGAACTGTTAAACACTGTGTTCAATATGCTACAAGTACATGTATAGAACAGTATCAAAATCTAAATAGATTTAACAATTAATATTCAAACTGAGTAATAACTATATTATTGCACGTGTTGTATAACTGTATGAATTTGAGGATAATGAAATTAAAGATCTATTTCATAATTAGTTTGGATTCTGACTAAACTTTTAGCGCATATATTTCTTTTTTTTCAACAGATTTATTCTTTATTCTTTTGATTGCCTGTTACAATTGTACTTCACTGTCTAATAATCTGTGAAGTATTCCTGCGAAATATATCTGAGTTGCCAGGAACATATACTCAGAATATAATAAACAATATTACATAAACTATGACAAAAATATATTTATTATTCTGTTAAATCAATTTCTTCTAATTTATGAAACATACATTTTAAGAAATCATTTTGCTTTCATTCCTAACCCTTCTTAATTCCTTTATAAACAATGCATATACATGTAAGCAGTTTAATTACTGCTCTGAAACATAATATGACTTGAAAATTCAAAAACTTAAACTGTCAAAAATAGTTGTAGATATCTTTTGTTTGTATTTGTTTATTTCCCCATCTCATTTTATCCTTTCTTATATTTATTGTACTCTTTTATAGAGTTTTCTTTAATCAGAAATTATTGCCATTCCTTCGGGATGGAGAATTTTAATTTTTTCAAACTCAGTAATCAAATTTTACTTATTGCTTAATATTTCTAAAATAAAAACCTCTGATAACTTTCCCTCACGATCCAATATGTCGTTAATATATAACAATCCACTAGCTTCCCAGTTTTGAAAGAACAAACTTTTGATGCAATGTTTTTTTAAAATGTATCTATTCCCCTGTTTTCTGATAATTGAAAAAATGATCTTTAAATTTTGTTAAAATCCCCCTGTTTTACCCAACTAGAAATTACTTGCAAATAAAAGTCTTTTATTTTTTCAATTTTGTTAGTGATTTAACATTATCTAAATTCATGTTAAAGACAAGATAATTTTTTCCCAGATTTTTTAAATCTTTGGAAGGAATAATCTTTCAGTTCGACAGAGAGATTGAATTTAATTTGGAAACCCATGAGGCTTTTAGTGCTGTAAAATTGCTATCAAAATCAATTATTTATAACTCCCCTTTTTGATATTTGCCGATAAGAGTTTTGTTTTCTTACTTTGTCAATTTTACTTTCGCAAATATATTTAAAACAACAGCTTCCAATCTCCTTAATGAATTTGTCTGGAACAATACACACGAAGAAACCAAACATGTACATTTTGTTTTTATCAAACATTAAAAAATTCACTATATTTCCAATTAAAGTTAGCTTTCTTGTTTTTCATGGCTTAAATAAGGATTTCATTTATCTATTTTAGGTTCCCAATTGAACGTTTCACATTCGAAAAGTCAGACGTTTATTAATTTGTATATAAGAATCAGAAACTTAGATCAGTAACTGAACACTAAACACCATCATGTCCCAAAACGCATGTTTAGGATATTTCAGTTCGGTCTCATATGCATCCATAAGGCTTTTTAACATACATCACATCTATAAGGTTGTTAATCTGTATGTGTTCTCGTATGTCCCTGTAAGGTATCAATTTGACTAAACCGTTTACTGCATACATCAAGTTAAAAGGTTTATCGCCCATGTGTATTATCGTGTGTACCTTTGAATGAAATTTTGACTTAAAGATTTACTACATAGTTTACATGTATAGGGTTTTTCGCCAGTATGCATTCCAAGTGTGTTAGTAAATCTTGTCGTTGGCAAAATACTTCACCACATACATTTATTAATGTTTTTCAAACGTATGTGTTTTCATATGTCTCTTTAAGGTATCACTTCGACTAAATCCTTTACTACATACGTCACATTTAAAAGGTTTGTCTCCAGTGTGTATACGCATGTGTGACTGTAAGTGATGGTGATAACCAAAACCTTTACCACACACGTCACAGTTAAAAGGTTTATTATCAGTATGCATTATCACATGTGTATGTAATTCACTAAATCGTTTAAAAGCTTTACTACAAACACCACAGGTAAAATGTTTCTCATCATTGTGTATACGCATGTGTGACTTTAATTGACAAGATCGTTTGAACGCTTTCCCACAAACGTCACAATTAAAAGGTTTATCATCATTGTGTATACGCATGTGTGACTTTAAGTGTTGTTTAAGACTAAAACCTTTACCACATACATCACAGTTAAAAGGTTCATCACCAGTGTGTATTCTCATATGCATCCGTAAGTGATATCGTTGATTAAAATCTTTACCACATACCTCACATTTATAAGGTTTATTAGCAGTATGCCGAATTATATGTGCTTGTAATTCACTAGGTTGATCTTCGGACTTTTCTTCCCTTTTCCATCCTTTACCACACACTTGACAACTTTTCTCGGACTCGTCATGTCTTTTCCATTCTTTATCACACAATTGACACCTATTCTCTGTCTTTTCCTCCCTTTCCAATCTTTTACCACACAGCTGACAAGTGCAATTGTTACCCCCATTATTGCATCTCATGTTTCCCTTTAACAAATGATCTGGATTATGACCAAGGGACACATTCATTGAACCCGCTGTATTTTTGTTGTCAGTCATTTTCCTGGTTTTGCCCTTCTTGTCCGCTTTTTTGTTGTCTGGCATTGAATGGTAACAAAAGAAAAAAAAAACATAAAACAGTCAATTCAATTTTGAATATCTAAACATATAAGGTTATTTAGTAAACGTCAATAAGTTTTTAGAAAAGGTGGGTTCATACCATTCAAGGATGAACCCTCTGATATACAGTTGTTGTCTTTTTTTGTGTCTATTCGTGATCATTAAATTTTGTTTTTTCTCTGTCTTTGCGCCTTATGTCATTAAGAGATGTAAAAAAAAAAAGATGTACATCATTGAGGCAGTTACAAATCGTCACAACTCGGCCGATTCCGTACCTTCATCTAGATAGAAGAAGAATAGCGGATTCACCCGAGGATTAACGATTGAAATCAGGGTTTGTCTGATTGGACGTAACAAATGAAAGTCGGCATTGGATAATTAACCGCCAGTGTACAGCCCGATTGGGCAAGTGAAATTAAAAACTGTATATCGACAAATTCACATATTATTTGTTTTCTTTCTGTTTAACTATAGACATTATAAAAAGTATTCCAAAGTCTGAGTTGTTGACGCATCCTTTAATAATCCAAACAGATAAGACTTAGCTATTATGAGATTTCTATCCATGAAAAGATATTATTAGTATTATTATTATCATTATCATTATCCTTATAATGGTTATCATTATTATCATTATCATTATTATTATTACTATTACTATTACTACTATTACTATTACTATTATTATTATTATTATTATTATTTTATTATTTTTTTTACTATTATTATCATTATCATTATTATTATTACTATTATTATTATTATTATTATTTTATTATTTTTTTTACTATCATTATCATTATTATTATTATTATTATTATTATTATTATTATTATTATTATTATTATTATTATTATTGTGTAACCATTTTGATTACTCTTTTATAGAAAATAAATTCAACCTTAATTGTCTCTACATCATTCTTTATTTAACATTTTTCACCTTTTCAGATTTTTTTTTATATAACAATGTTTAATTTAATTGAAAACAAATTATATATGTTATACTTGCGTCCCATATTTCCCCCGAAACATCGTTAAATTTAAGTAGATAAATACATTGTTATGCGTTATGCTGTATTTCAGATTGAACTAAATTCTTATCATCTGACACTAATTAGATTTATGGTCGGGCTTAGATGTGAAAATGTGCAGCACAATCATTATAATTGAAAAGTAAACTAGTGTTGTAATTTTATGAAAAGATCTGAAAACGGTAAAACGTACAAACCAAATATGTATTTATATTTCGGAAGCATTGTTTGTAGTTTTGATTTTGTTAAGTAAAAATTTAAAACCCTGCCATTATTTGTGTAATACAATACACATGAACATATATATAAATCGTACACTCACTTATTCAAATTTTCAAGTAGAGTAATCTAATAGCAAAGGTTAAAACACGAAGGGAGATAATTACAATAATTTACTTATGGAGTGCCAGTTTAAAATTATATGTCGTTAAACCTGTGATAAAAAGGAAAACAGACGGGCATTTAGCGGTATCGGTTTGGATTCCATTTATGTCCTTCTGGGTTCCCGTTCGTTGTCTAGGCATTTATGCTGGTAGCCGGGGTGACCTTTTCCTTTATTTTGTATATATAATGTATTTATATTTTGCATTTTGTTTTATATTTTTGAGGACGATCGAATCAGCTGATTGGGCGAGTTTATTGCATTGTATTTGTTGTTTTTGGGGAATGATAACATTCTGGAAGTAAGACACGTCACGGCTAGGAAACTGGGTAAGCAAATGCTCACATTAAATCTGTTCCGATTCATAGTGTTAAATTTTATCTCTACACCAAAATCCGTTGTGGTGCTCCTACTTAAGGAGTAAGATACAGAACATACATACATACATACATACATTGGCACTGCGTTCTGTGTTTCTTTTAAATTATGTTATATTTTCAATAGACTATTTTGTATCAAGTATTCTATGTTATTTCTGAAAGTTGAAAGTGAATTAAAGTGAACACTAAACATTTGCTGATGCATTTTTTAAGGTACTGACTACGGTTACCTTGAAATATAACATTAATAAAATAGATATTGTTACATTGGAGACTAATTGCCGGAATGCAAGGTTGGGTAAGGAACCGACTAATTACAAATGTAACAATTATATTTATGTCTACGGTTTCATTGCGTTATTGTTACCCCAGGTAGCACAAAACATTTTCAAAACATTTTTATAAGGTTGTATAAATGTCGTCTCAAAACGTTGTCGAAAAAATATTTTCGTGATGTTATGTAGATATTTTTTCTTGTATTTTAAAAACATTTATTTAAAACATTTTTTGAAAATGTTTTTACAATGATGTAAGAATATTCATGAAAATGTTTTCAGTGACATTTTTTAAGATATTTTGTTTGAATGTTTTATAAATGTTCAGAAGATATGTACGTTCCAGCTCTGAAAAACATTTTAAAAGCATATGAGTAAAACATTCTTAACAATATTGCTGCGATGTTTTTAAAACATTTTCTAAAAATGTTTCATGAAATGTTTTGATAACATACCTTTAAGATATTTTAACAACATTTCTTCATAATATTTGATGAAAACATTTTAAAAACGTTACGCATTTAATATTGAGAAAATGAATTGATAAAACATTTTGTTACTAATATTTTAACAACATTTTAAAATAATATTATGAATACATTTACCGAAAAACATTTAAAAAACGTTACGCATTTAATATTGAGAAAATGAATTTATAAAACATTTTGTTGCTAATATTTTAACAACATTTAAAAAAAATATTATGAATACATTTCCCTAAAAACATTAAATAGAAAATGTTTAAACAATATTTTGCAAACATTAATTTAGGTTATGGAAGAAAAACTTTATTTCATCAAATGACAGTGATTGAAGCGGTACTTCCCATATATATACTTTTACAGTGCACGTATTGCTATTTTCCGGATTTTCTGTTCCAGTACCGACAACAAAAGTTTACACATTTAAAATCTAACTGTTCCCGATGACCAACGAACATGATCCGAAGCAATTTTGGAAACCAGTAACCGGAAGTTTTATTTACCATGCTGTAAACAAAGACAAAGGAAACGTACAAAATAAAGAATAACCTTATCATGCGTTAAAACTGGTAAGATATGACACTAGTTCACATTTATAAAACATTGTTATGCTTCTGGAAATATCTTGGTTAATTTGATTAATATATTCCAAGAATTAATACGAGTGTAAGCAAGCACAATGCAAAAAGGGGGTGATGATTTAGTGTACCTAGATGTTATGATGTTTATGTCCAGTGAACATTACGAATTATAGAAAAGGGGTTAAACTTAAGGGTTATTTATATGATTTTAAAATTCATAAATGTAATCACTTGTAACCAGTGAGCATGTCTGAAAAGTTCTGTGTTACAAGTCAGCTTTTTGAAGCTTTGTTGGCTTTGACAGACTGAGCTATTTAAGCAGTACTCGCTGGCTACGTATCTACTAGTCAAGGGAATCTCAAACACGCAATGGTTAGCTATAAACACACAATATATAATGCATACCAGTCGACTGGCATATATTTCCGCCCCAAAATATCTATGATACGCGCCCCTGTGCTATAATATATAATTGTTTATGTAACTTGTACATTTGTGTTTAGCCCTACAGCCCAGCCCAAGGCCAGATAATTATTTATGTGCCGGTACCAAGACAGAAGTTTGATTTAGTAGTTGTTGGTTCATTTCTGACATATTTGTTTTATAAATTATGCCATTAGTTTCATTGTTTGAATTGTCTTTAATTATACGCCCGTTTACGGGACGTATTATGGTGTACCGTTGTCCGTATGTCTGTCGTCAACATGTCGGACATTAACTCATAAATGCTTTAACCAATTTGAATAAAACTTTTTAAATTTTAGATTTTACGTTTCCGAGTTCTGGAGTTTTATTCATTAAAAATAGCGTGGATTTTCTAGTTTTCGGACAATAACTCAAAAACGCTTTCAGCAGTTCTCTTTAAACTTTGGTGAATAGTTTATATCTACATGTATTGACTTAAGCTCCCTTTCAATTTTCATGAATTTCTGATTTGACATTGGGAAATGATTGAACTTTTTTCTTCGAAAAATACAATGTGACTTTGTCTTACCTGTATTTTATTTATTTTGTTTATTTTAACTTTTGTAGGATCAATTAGCATGATTAGACGTACCAAAATTTAGGATAGATTTTCAGAAATGCAGATTAAAATTGAGAATGGAAATGGGGATTATATAGAAGAATATAAGCTTAGAAATGATTCAAACCATCCTGGAGGAGCAAATTTTATGAAGGTATTTATTCTTTAAAATCCTCAATCTATAGTACATGTATTTGCGCTAAAATATACAATAACCATTAAGAAACTTGTTTTTTTTTTGTAAGACCAAGAAAATGTTACAGGCCCTACACAGCTGGCTACTCTAAGTTGAGAAAATTGTAGTGTACAGTATACATGTCTTATTTTATAAACTGGTGAAATCTACCGTTACACTTTTGTAATAATAATACACCCCAAACTCTACAGATGTATAAAGTAGCTACAATTGTTGCTTCTGAATCCATTAACACTGATTAGATGACACTTTTCAATATATTTTTGTGAAAACACTGGATTAAATTGAAGTAAAATAGTTTATTGTGTAATTCAATGAAATTAGCTGAATTTCCACTCGTTTAATCACTAAACAGAAGGACTAATTTGTTTACACTTTATTTTACAGAAGCCAGCAGATGTCAAAAGAAATAAAAAGAATGGAACAAAAGAAACTTTGAAAAAGAACAGTGATACGAAAATTTTGAATACATGTTTTGCATTTATAATTGTAATTATATCTTGTATAGTGTTGACTAAGGCAGCAAAGAAAACAGTAAAAAAACTTCAGAAAAAAAATGTCCGATGCTACATGTGATCAAACATGAGATCAAGAAATACTTCTAAAAAAAATGCACAAAGATTAAAATCAGAAAAAAACCATGACAAATTATTACGTGTTCAAGGTATTACGAAAAATAGGGTTATGTCAATGATACATAAATCCGACAAAAGTAAACAAAATATATGTAGATTCAACTGTAATCAACAAACAATTGTAAAAGGAGATGTGGGGTAAAGATCAGTATGACAGCAGTTGTTTTTCAGATGCAGATCCAGGATTATGAAAAGAGGGGCCACAGGCTCTAAACTAGACAAAGTTTGAGTGAAATAGTAGGAATTAGATTAACCATAATTGTAGCTCCATAAGGGGACCCAGAACCCCCCCCCTCCTCCCCCACCCCCAGATCAAACATGATTAAAATGTTTTTTGAATATTTTATAAAACATTTGAATGATGATGTAAGAAAACATTTTTCTAATGATATTCATATAACATTTAAATGATGTTTTTTGAGAATATGAACATTATTAAAACATTTTGTAAAATGTTTTTTGAACATTTTCACAACATTTTATCCTGCAAAAACATTTTTTTTATGTTTTAAAAATGTTTCAAGGATATTTTATAAACATGCATATTCAAAACATTTACAAAACATTTTACAAACATTGTCAACAAAATTCAGAAACGTTTTAATGATGTTTTAAAAATATCCTGGACATGTTATGGAAAATGTGTTGAAAATAATTTTAGCGCCATACATTTTAACGTGATTTTGATATTTTCTACGATATTTTCACAACATTTTTTAAAATGTTTTTAAAACATAAACACAATGTTTTTGTGTTAACTGGGACATTGATGCACTTCAATGTACGCTAGATTTAATAAACTTAAACCTTCTATATAGTGATTTTGTTTTGTTTAATTCTTCGATATGTACAAGATAATAATAGTATGTACTAGGTAATAATAGTACGTACTAGATAAAAATAGTACGTTATAGATAATAACAGTGACAATGATATTATTATCATAATAATGATATTAATCAGCAAATAGTGTTTAAATATAGTTTTGAGTATTAATTGTTTTAATATTCCTCAAAAAACTTCAGTGAAATTATATTAAAAGACTGCATAACACAACCTCATATGTTTCCAACAAAAATATTGGACGAAAATATAAACATCGCAAGAGTAAAGAAAATATTTTTCACCTGAAGCATGGCAGATATTGAATATTTCATTAACTTCAAAAAGGTATAGCGCAGAATGTATGCAATACAGACGTGCACATTGCTGCATAACTCGTTTGTGATGGCTGCTTATTAAAAAGTGGTTTCAGCAAAAATACGCCGGACTGAAACATGCTCCTTAAACAACATACTGGATTTGTAGAAACTGCCATTGTCATGAAATAAATATTTAAAAATGTGTATACAATATTGTAAAATTCAAATAAAGTTTGTGTTTTCAAGTTTTATCTAAATACATATAACAAGTCCCAATGTACATTGAATTGCGTTAATGTAACAATAACGCAACGTAACAGTAGACATTAATATTATTGTTACATTCGTAATTAATCGGTTCCTTACCCAACCTGGCATTCAGGTAATTAGTCTCTAATGTAACAATATTTTTTTTTATTATTGTTACATTTAAAAAAAAAAAACCACCAGCAAATTTCCCGAGTCCCCTTTAATTCACTTTCAAATATATCATAGACTATTTAACAGCAAGAGTCGGTTAAAACAAATTTTTACGACACAAGAGATGACTTCAGCTTGATTCCCAATCGTGAACTTTCCATTTCTATGTAGCAACATTCCAGCAGCGCGTACATATACGGAGTATATATCTCCCAATTGATACGAAAATCTAGGGCTTGTATTTTCTATCATGATTTCCTTGATAGAGGGTTGATACTCACAAGGAAGCTATTAAACTAAGAGTTTTTTTGGTGAAGTTGAAATCATCACTTCGACAATGTTACGGACGTTATTATGAGTTAGTTGATCGTTATGGAATATCCAATTCACAGATGATATCGGATATGTTTCTTATGTCGTAACTACAATACCATTCCCGTTTCACGAATGTCACCTCCCGAATTAGACTATTTACCGGGTTTATGATAACATGAGCAACACGACGGGTGCCACACGTGGAGCAGGACCTGCTGAACCTTCCGTATCACCTGTGATCACCCCACGTTTTTTATGGGGTCAGTGTTTCTAAGTCTTTCGTTTTTTCTATGTTGTGTATTGTGTACTATTATTTGTCTATTTGTCTTTTTCTCTTTTAGCCATGGTGTTTTCAGTTTATTTTGGATCTAAGAGTTTGAATGTCCCTCTGGTATCTTTCGCCCCTCTTCTACACATACATTCTTATACATTTGAAGGTAATATTATTTTCTGTTATCATGAAAGGATTTTGTATGTAAGACTTTCAATTTCACTTAATAAAAAAAGTTGTTTCATATCATTTAGGGAAAATTTACCACTGAAAATATGTGAAAAAGTTACAATGATCACATTCTACAAAACGAAGCTTGGCTTGGAATGGATCGGAACTCCAAACCAGAGAAAGTATTGGAACTGAAAAGGAGGATGATAAATTTGCTGTAATTCGTAAAGCGAGTAAGAAATAAAGATAAAGTAATGTATGCCTTGACTGTAGTAATCCTAGTTGGCTTTTAACTTACAGTCACAGTCGTAGCCATGCATCTGAAAAGTAGATATACTACAAATAACTTGAGGTATTGGTTGACTATTTGGCCTGTTATTTTTGGTATTGATTATTCATATATTAAGTACAGCAACTTTTCCCATGTCAGTACAAAAAAAAAGTTAAATTATAAAATACTAAACTTCGAGGAAAATTCACAAAGGAAAGTCCCTAATCACATGGCAAAATTAAAAGCTCAAACACATCAACCGAATGGATTGCAGCTGTCATATTCCAGACTTGGTACACGCATTGTCTTATGTACTTAAATGTCACATACAATAGTCAATACATAAACAAAATGTTTAACATTTACGCATAAAATGATATATATCCAACCATATACATCTGATTTATCTATGTTATCATGAGCAGATGAGTATGAAATTTCAATCATTTTAAGTTTAAACATTTTCACATTACTCATTTAACGATTTAAATCCATAAATATGTACACTAGTGCCAATTTCTGAATATTTTGACATTTGATAACTATTATTATAGTAGTAAAATTTGCGGTGTTAACACGGCCATATTTTATTTCTTCCGAAGAGATCTACTGAAATTAATCTTAAGAAATCCGGATTTTTTTGGGAGAAGCTATGGTACATACATGATATATGATTGTGTAAATTGTAGAAGTTGTATGGGGCTCACAGCAAAAAATAAAACAAAAGCTTTTCAAGACTTCGTTATTATTTAGAGCAAGTTAAATAAACAGTAAATAAACGGGCATATGATTTTTTTCTTGGCTTTCTAGTCCTGAATAAAATGCTCCGCAGGGCGCAGCTTGATACGACCGCAGAGGTCGAACCCTGAACAGTTGGGGGAAGTATGGACACAACATTCAAGCTTGATACAGCTTTGGATTTGGATTGTGATTAAATATTTGACACAGCATAGGTTTCTAACACAGATTGAATGTGGTCTAAGAACTTAAAAATTTTAAATTGGACATTCACCTATTATGGTCCAATATCCAAAATCTAAATACATGGTTAGATTCAGCATATCAAAGAACCCCAAGAATTCAATTTTTGATGAAATCAAACAAAGTTTAATTTCGGACCCTTTTGACCTCAATGTGGACAAAGTTGATAACGGGGCCCAAAAATCAAAAATCTAAATACATGGTTAGATTCAGCATATCAAAGAACCCCATATATTCAATTTTTTGTTGAAATCAAACAAAGTTTAATTTTGGACCCCGATTTGGACCAACTTGAAAACTGGGCCCATAATCAAAAATCTAAATACATGTTTAGATTCAGCATATCAAAGAACCCTAAGAATTCAATTTTTGTTAAAATCAAACTAAGTTTAATTTTGGACCCTTTGGACCTTAATGTAGACCAATTTGAAAACGGAACCAAAAATTAAGAATCTAAATACACGGTTAGATTCGGCATATCAAAGAACCCCAATAATTCAATTTTTGATGAAATCAAGCAAAGTTTAATTTTGGACCCTTTTGACCTCAATGTGGACAAAGTTGATAACGGGGCCCAAAAATCAAAAATCTAAATACATGGTTAGATTCAGCATATCAAAGAACCACATATATTCAATTTTTGTTGAAATCAAACAAAGTTTAATTTTGGACCCCGATTTGGACCAACTTGAAAACTGGGCCCATAATCAAAAATCTAAATACATGTTTAGATTCAGCATATCAAAGAACCCTAAGAATTCAATTTTTGTTAAAATCAAACTAAGTTTAATTTTGGACCCTTTGGACCTTAATGTAGACCAATTTGAAAACGGAACCAAAATTTAAGAATCTAAATACACAGTTAGATTCGGCATATCAAAGAACCCCAATAATTCAATTTTTGATGAAATCAAACAAAGTTTAATTTTTGACCCTTTGGACCTCAATGTGGACCAATTTAAAAACGGGGCCCAAAATCCAAAAACTAAATACACGGTTATATTCAGCATATTAAAGAACCCCATGAAATCAAGAATAAAACCCCATTGAAATTGGTCAAGAAATAAGCAATTTATAGGAAGTATCTTCTTTTGCACAATCCTGTGCTATTAAATATTTCTTGCTATTGCGCAATACTGTACAATTGACAATTTCTTGCTATTGTGCAATATTGTGCTATTGGATATTTCTTGCTATTGCGCAATACTGTGCAATTGAAGATTTCTTGCTATTGCGCAATACTGTGCAATTGAAGATTTCTTGCTATTGTGCAATACTGTGCAATTGAAAATTTCTTGCTATTGCACAATACTTATTATATAATAATTTACACATCCTGTTTGGTGTGTATCTCCTACCATATCATTATTATTTGATTTTAAATATAAATCAGAAATAACCAACTTAAAATGGAAAATTTTAAAAGAAACAAAAAAGGAAAAAAAGAAAAAAAAAAGGAAAAAAAAATAAATCCCCCCCCAAAATTTTTTGAACCCCCATTATGATTCATCACCCCCAAACTCAATCCCAGCCTTCCCTTTGTGGTATGGTACCTTGCAGTACAATTTCAGAGAGATCCATACACTTGAACACAAGTTATTGTCTGGAAACTAGAAAAAAATGTGTTTTTTGGCCCCTTTTTGGCCCCAAATTCCTAAACGTTTAGGGCAATTACCCCCAAACTCAAACCCAGCTTTCCCTTTGTGATATGGAACCATGTAGTACAATTTCAGAAAGATCCATACACTTACACACAAGTTATTGTCATGAAACTAGAAAAATGCTTGTTTTTTGCCCCTTTTTTGGCCCCTAATTCCTAAAATTTTGAGGCAATTACCCCCAAAATCAATCCCAGCATTCCTTTAGTGATATGGAACCTTGTGGTACAATGTCAGAGAGATCCATACACTAACACACAAGTTATGTCTGGAAGTTACAAAAATGCTTATTTTTGGCCCCTTTTTGGCCCCTAATTCCTTTACTGTTATTACCATAACCCTCAAAATCAATCCCAACCTTCCTTTTGTGGTATTGAACCTTGTGGTAAAATTTCATAAAGATCCATTCCCTTAAACTAAAGTTAGAGTGCGAAAACCAATGTGTCTTCTGACGACGCCGGACGACGCCGGACGACGACGACGACGACGACGACGACGACGACGACGACGCCGGACGACGACGACGCCAACGTCATACCAATATACGACCACAAAAATTTTTTTGCGGTCGTATAAAAACTAAACAGTACATCTAAACACAGAAAACGTGATTTAAGACAATGCAAGATGTTTCTGAAATGGAAGAAACATGATCTTAAACAGGCTTTGTATCTGATTTCGTCCCTTTTGGACACTGCTGCATACAGTATATGTTTTGTAATATACATGATGTAGTCATGGGTGTTTGGATCATTGTTTTGATATTCAAATTGATGTTTCATGAGCTGATCATGTTGACATTCTTCCCTTGTCTCTACAGCCGAATGGGTAATGTTCCGGGCACAGAAAGTTTTACAAACATGTCAGACATAACGAAACGACCAGGCAACGGCCCAGCATTTGCCTCTTAAAAACATGTCAGAAATAACAAAACGACAACGCAAATGCCCAGCTTTAGCCTCTTTATCAAGTACTAGTGGAATCAACAGAATCTTATCAAATAATATAACAGAATAATGATGAGCTGTTAAGCTACTGTGTTCAATATGCCACAAGTTTGAAGTACATGTATACAAAAGTATCAAAATTCAAATAGGTTGTACAATATTTAAACTGAGTAATAACTATATTATTGTACGTGTTGAATATTTGTATGAATTTGAGGCAAATAAATGCAAAATCCTAAAATTGTCAAAAATAGTAATAAATATCATTTGTTTGTATTTGTTTATTTCCCCTTATTAATATTGATTTCACTATCTTATAGAGTTTTTTTTTAATTAGAACTTATTGGGATGGAGTATTTTAATGTCTTAAACTCTGCAATCAAATTTGACTTATTGCTTAATATTTCTAAAATACAAACATCTGATAACGTTTCCTCACTATCCAGTATGTCGTTCATATACCAATCCACTTGCTACCCAGTTTTTGAAAGAATAAACTGTCGTTGCAAATGTTTATAAAATGTATCTATTTCCACAGTTTTCTGATAATTGAAAAAAAAGATCTTTAATCTTTTTTAAACCTCCCCCTGTTTTCACCCAAATCTTGTATTTTTTTCAAATTCTGTAAATGATTTAACATTATCTAAATTTATGTTAAAGACAAAATAATTTTGCCCAGATTTTTGAAATATTTGGAAGGAATAATCTGCCAGTTCGGCAGAGAGATTGAAGTTAATTTGGAAACCTATGAAGCTTTCAGTGTTGTAAAATAGCTACTAAAATAAAAATACAACAGCTTCCAATCTCCTAAATGACTTTGTCTGGAACAATACATGATACTGGTGAATTAAGTACAAATTATGATTATTATACATGCTGTAATGATTAATAAAATACTTTGAGAAATAATAAATGTTTAAAAAGTATTAAGAAGAATGAATGCATATTAAATGAAGGAAAAAATATCTACAAGTTGCATCAGAAAAGCCAATTTATAAATTATTTAAATGTAATTCAAAGTAATTGAAAAGAAAAATGCAATGTATTTCAAAGTAATTGAAAAGAAAAATGCAATTCAATTCATTACTTTCAATTACATTTAATTAAAATATGCTCAATTACACATTACATTGAATAACTTTCAAAAAATGTAATTAATTACAGCTAATTACAATTACATTTTTAATTTCCCCAGGTCTAACACGGAGTAGCCAAAAATATAAATTTTGGTAGTATCAAAGATTTGATCATCAATATATTTCCAATTATAGTTTGCTTTCTTGTGTTCCATGGCTTCATTTTTAATTTTAGTTTCTTGTGTATAATTTGGAGTTTAGTATGACGTCCATTATCACTGAACTAGTATACATATTTGTTTAGGGGCCAGCTGAAGGACGCCTCCGGGTGCGGGAGTTTCTCGCTGCATTGAAGACCCATTGGTGGCCTTCGGCTGTTGTCTGCTCTATGGTCGGGTTGTTGTCTCTTTGACACATTCCCCATTTCCATTTTCAATTTTATTTAGTAAGGATTTCATGTATCTATTTTTGTTTCCAAGTTTAACTTGTCACATTCGATTAGGCAGACGTTTATTATCTGTATATTAGTATCTGAAACTTGTATATGATACTAAACACTTAACGCTATCATGTCCAAGAAACGTATGTTTAGGATTTGTCAGTGCGTTCTCATATGCATCCGTAAGTCTTGCCTATGACGAAATTTGATTTCACATACATCACATCTATGAGGTTAATCACCTGCATGCGTTCTCATATGCCCCTTTAAGGTATCAATCCGACTAAATCCTTTACCACACACATCGCACATATACGGTTTTTCACCAGTATGTGTTCTCGTGTGATTCTTTAACTCACTAGTTTGACGAAATCTTCTACCGCATACACTACACTTAAATTATGTTTTTCACCAGTGTGAAGTTTCAAATGGAAACGTAGTTTTGATCGTTGGCTAAACCGTTTACTGCATACATCACAGTTAAAAGGTTTTTCACCCGTGTGTTTTCTTGTGTGTATCTTTAAATGGCATTTGTGACTGAAAGATTTACCACATATTTTGCATGTATAGAGTTTTTCGTCAGTATGCGTTCCCATGTGTATTAGTAAATCTTGTTGTTGGCGAAATACTTCATTACATACATATTTTAATGTTATTCAAACGTATGTGTTCACATATGTCTCTTTAAGGCATCACGTCGACTAAATCCTTTACTACATACATCACATATATATGGTTTGACACCAGAATGAGTTCTAATGTGTTTCTGTAAGACAATATTTTGACAAAAACTTTTATCACATACGTCACATTTAAAAGGTTTATCTCCAGTGTGTATACGCATGTGTGAATTTAAGTGCTGCTTAGAAATAAAACCTTTACTACATACATCACACGTATAAGGTTTATTACCAGTGTGATTTATCATGTGTGTCTGTAATTGACTAGGTCGTCTAAAATCTTTTCCACAAACGTCACAGTTAAAAGGTTTATCATCATTGTGTATACGCATGTGTGACTTTAAGAGCTGTTTAAGACTAAAACCTTTACCGCATACATCACAGTTAAAAGGTTTATCACCAGTGTGTATTCTTATATGTCTCTGTAAGTTCTGTCGTTGATTAAAATCTTTACCACATACATCACAGTTAAAAGGTTGATCACCAGTGTGTATTCTCATATGTCTCCGTCAGTCCTGTCGTTGATTAAAAGGTTTACCACATACCCCGCAATCATAAGGATTATTATCAGTGTGATTAATCATGTGTGTCTGTAATTGACTGGATCGTATAAACCCTTTACCACAAACACCACAGGTAAAAATTTTATCATAATTGTGTATACGCATGTGTGACTTTAGTTGACTAGATCGTTTAAACGCTTTCCCACAAACGTCACAATTAAAAGGTTTATCATCAATGTGTATTCTCATATGCATTCGTAAGGGATATCGTTGATTAAAATGTTTACCACATACCTCACATTTATAAGGTTTATTAGCAGTATGCCGAATTATATGTGTCTGTAATTCACTAGGTTGATCTTCGGACGTTTCTTCACTTTTCCATCCTTTAACACACACTTGACAAATACTCTCGGACTTGTCATGTCTTTTCCATTCTTTACCACACAATTGACACTTATTCTCTGTCTTTCCTTTCCTTTCCAATCTTTTACAACACAGTTGACAAGTGCAATTGTTACCCCCATTATTGCATCTCGTTTCTTCCTTTATAAAGTGATCTGGATTATGACTAAGGGACACATCCATTGAACCTGCTGTATTTTTGTTGTCAGTCATTTTCTGTCTTTTGCCCCTTCTTGTCCGCTTTTTTTTTTGTCTGGCCTTGAGTCTTAACAAAAGAAAAATAAGCATAAATCAGTTAATTCAATTTTGAATATCTAAATATCTAAGGTTAATATTTAGTAAACATCAATAAGTTTTTAGAAAAGATTGGTTCATACCATTCAAGGATTATCCCTCTTATATACACTTGTTGTCTTTTTTTGCGTCATTAAATTTGTTTTTTTCTCTATCTTCGCGCCTTATGTCATTAGGAGATTTTTAAAAAGATGTACATCATCGAGGCAGTTACAAATCGTCATAACTCGGCCGATTCCGTACCATCATCAAGATAGAAAAAGAGTAGCGAAATCACCCGAGGATTGCCGATTGAAATAAGGAGATGTCTGATTGGACGAGACAAATGAAAGTCGTCATTGGGCAAGTAACCGCCACAGTGAACTGCCCGATTGGACAAGTAAAATTAAAAGCTGTATGTCGACAAATTCACATATTATTTGTATTCTCTCCTTTTAACTACAGACATTATAAAAGATTTTCAAAAGTCTTAGTTGTTGACGCATTCTTTAATTAACCAATCAGATAAGACTTAGCTATTTTGAGATTTCTGTCCGATATTAGTAATATTATGATTATTATTATGATTATGATTATGATTATGATTATGATTATTATTATTATTATTATTATTATTATTATGATTTGCGTTATTATTATTATTATTATTATTATTATTATTACTATTATTATTATTATTGTGTAACCATCTTGATTCCTCTTTTGTAGAAAATAAATTCAACCTTAATTGTCTCTGCGTCATTCTTTATTTACCATTTTTCACATTTTCAGATTCGGTTTTACACAACAATGTTTTATTTAATTGAAAACTAATTATACATGTTATCCTTGCGTTTCATAAATTTATTTTTCTTAATCAACCGAAACATCATTAAATTTAATCAGATACATACATTGATATGTGTTATGCTGTATTTCAGATTGAAATAAATTCTTATCACCTGACAACAATTAGACTTATGGTCGGGCTTAGATGTGAAAAATTGTAGTACAATCATTATAATTGAAAAGTTAACTAGTGTTTATATATATGAAAACAGTAAATAGCTGTGTTACGCATGCGCTAAATTACAGGCGGAAAATTTTGAGTCTTCAAAAATTGTGTTTGAAATCCTCTTATTCAACTTAATTCTACTGTGAAAAAGGTGGTAAGGCAATCGATAGTTACACATAACATTTCATCATACAATAAAAAGCTCACTTTTTCAATATCATCGACAGCATTAAAATCTTGAGTTTGAAGTGTTTACCTGTCAACTTTTGTAAACAACGATCACAAACGGTCATACCTGAAAACTTTAACAAAGGGGTGTATTATCCTTAGGAAGTTCGATTGCTTTTTAAGGGAGTAGATCGTTCCTTAGAGCAAAAAGGATCCTTTCAAGGAAGTAGACTCATTCCTTGGGAATCCAACAGCAGTAGACAGATCGTCAACAGGTCAATATTTACATCCATCATTTTGACTCATTGCTACACTGCATAAGGAATAAAATGCTTGTATCTCGTCAAATATTTTGTACTCATATATGCTGGCCCTCAGTATTTTAACCCAACCAGATGTGGATAATAAATTTGTCATTTGCAATAACACCAAGATCAATGGCCTTTCATTTGCCATGATAAAATATCACGACCTCACTAAATAAACTGTTATCACAGAGATATGTCTCGCCTTTTTGTAATTTTGATAATGCAAATGTTGAAATTAAAATAGCAATACTTTATCAAGTAAGTTATGCAAATATTCAAAGTCGATGAACCATGACTGAAGGTACATGGCTAAACAATCTCCATGGAATGAGATGTGCCAATGCTAATACAACTGCATACCAAATACCACTGACTTATTAAACAAACCTAAACACAAACATTGACTTGTAAACTATGTAAAAGTTTCAAAGTTAATGAATCATGATCAGGGGTGGGGCTATATAATCTCCATGGAAACGATATTTGCAAATGCCAATACATTTGCATACCAAATATCATAGACTTAACATTAGCAGGTCATCTTAAACTGATCTAATCACAAACTAATACATGTAAACTAAGCAAAAGTTTCAAAGTCAATAGACCATGACTGAGGGGGCGGGGCTAAATATTCTCCATGGAAATGAGATGTGCTAATGCTTATACAACTGAACACAAATTAACATTGGCCTACCACTAATGGTTCCCCTTGAACTAACCTAATCACGAACTAATTCATGTTAACTTAGCAAAATTTTCAAAGTCTATAGACCATGACTAAGGTGTCGGAGCCAAATAATCTCCATGGAAATGAGATATGCCAATGCTTATACAACTGTATACCAAATATCATTGACCTTCCACTAGTGGTTCCCCATAAATTGACCTAATCACAAACTTATACATGTAAACTATGAAAAGTTTCAAAGTCAATAGACCTTGACGGAGGGGGCGGGGCCAAATAATCTCCATGGTAATGATATGTGCCAATGCTAATACAACTGCATACCAAATATCATTGACCTACCACTAGTGGTTCCCCATAAATTGACCTAATCACAAACCTTGACTGAGGGGGCGGGGCCAAATAATCTCCATGGTAATGAGATGTGCCAATGCTAATACAACTGCATACCAAATATCATTGACCTACCACTAGTGGTTCCCCATAAATTGACCTAATCACAAACTAATACATGTAAACTTTGAAAAGTTTCAAAGTCAATAGACCTTGACTGAGGGGGCGGGGCCAAATAATCTCCATGGTAATGAGATGTGCCAATGCTAATACAACTGCATACCAAATATCATTGACCTACCACTAGTGGATCACCATGAACTAGACCTAATCACAAACTAATACATTGTTGACGCCATTGCCGTCGCCGTCGCCAACGCCGGAAACAGCATACCTATGTCTCGCTTTTTGACTCCGTCAAGGCGAGACAACAAACTGAACACATAAATCAGAAACAGTGTGTAAGCAGAGACGACATTCTTTGGACCTTTTTGTCTATGACCCCCGATTGCTATATCAAATGATGTCAACTTAAATCCAGGCCCAAACCAGTCAATCTACCAATGCGGTACATGCGATGAACCTATGAAATGGGATGATCGAGGTATTGTTTGCGACACTTGCAATCAATGGTACCACATACACTGTCAATCAATGCATAGCGGGTATTATGATATTTCTGTAAAATGATAGTGCATTAGCTTGGGACTGTGTCTTGTGTGAATGCCCAAACTATTCAACATTGTGTTATGACCTGTCATTCAGTACGTCAAACCACTACAGCATACTATCAGATACATCCTTGAAAAGTCCATCTCTTACTGAATCTAGAATAAAACCTATCCATTCTTCAACACTCGATAGATCAAGTAAGAATTGTTACAAAAAAAAAGAAGAAAATACCACACCATTAAGAATATTAAATGTAAACTTTCAGTCAATAAAGACAAAACAATGCCAAGTTAAAAATCTTGTAAAGAGCACACACCCAGATATTGTGATAGGAACCGAAACTTGGATTGACTCTTCCATAAAGGACTCACAGATTTTTCCATCAGGCTACAAGATAAACCGGAAAGACAGACAGCTAAGTGGAGGAGGTGTACTTATTGCCATAAAAGATACATACATGAGTTCACCTGTTCCAGAGCTCGACACAGATTGTGAAATTATCTGGTGTAAATAAGAACTGGCTGGCCAGAAAAACATGTATACTGTAAACCAAATAATTTTCGCGAGCGATTTATTTTCGCGAGTAGAAAAAAAACGCGAATATAAATCGTCGCAAATATGTAAAACTTGGATTTTTCCATAGTTAATTACATCAATTAAGCAAATGAATCAGGATATTTGGAATACAAAAGAAGCATCGACCAAACAGCAAGTATAAAGAACTGCTTCATATTTTCAGGTGGCGATTTCAACGTTCCTGGATGGGACTGGAAAGCAAAATGTATAAAAGACAACACACAACATGTTGGAATACATCAAAGATTCGGAGATATACTGGATGATAATGGTTTTTCACAGATTGTTGAAGAACCAACAAGGCAGACAAACACACTTGACTAATTAATAACAAATCATCCTAATAGTTTTACGAGGGTGGAAATACTACCAGGGGTATCTGATCATGACATCGTCTTTGCCGAAATATGTCATTACTTCAAGAAAAAGCAAGCGGCAAGAAAGATTCCTCTATACAACAAGGCAATTTGGGATAAGATTAGGGACGACATAAATAATATTAAAAATGAAATTGTAACAACGACAACAAGCAATAGTAACATCAACGACATATGGATAGTATTTAAAACAAGTTTAGAGAAAAGCGTCAATTTGAATATCCCGCACAAACAGGCAAGAACTAAAGACAGCCCATCATGGATATCGAAAGATCTCAAACCACTCATCCGAAAGAGAGATCGGCTTTATAAGAAAAAGAAGAAATCTTATGATGAAAAAGACTCTGAGAAATACAAAACAATCAAGCGCCAGGTACAACAAGGTCTAAGGAGGTCATACTGGAAGTATGTGGAATCTATTGTAACACCACCAGAGGATAACATCATCGAAAATCGTGGCTGTATGAAGAGATTCT